GTTCTCTATTTATAGAGCCCTGCTGAGAAGACATGTGCAACTCAAGGCATATGCTCGAACGGGAGCTGCCTGGACGCTGCAATCATGTTGCACACTATCCGTGCTGAGTGTGCTGACTTTTCGTACAATGTCCCACTGTCTGGCTGCCTGCATAAAGTCAAGTGCTCGGCGCAGTTGTGGCGAAATGTCGCTCCTCTGTTTTCATTTAAACAGCTCCATATCCGTTAGCGCAGCTAGCTAGCACCAGATGCTAACAACAACAATGCACGTAAGGTCTCTCTCTCGCTCGCTCGGGCCACACATACACACACCCTCCCGGTCCTCCAGATGGCCAGTCGGTGCCTGCCGGTGAGCGTGGAAGTGTGGTCTGCCACAAGCGGGCGGCAGGAGCGGGGCTGTCAGCATCAGCTTGTAGACGGTATTTTAAACTCGATGCGCTCTGAAACTACTATTGTTATTAACGCGTTAACTTGACAGCCCTAGTTTTTATATATTCTTGTGTGTACTTAATTACTTTGTATTAAATAGTAGCAGTCTGTATAACAAGAAGCTGGAAATATGAGAAGTGAAACATTTGTATTTAGAGTAGTGGAGATGTGAGAGATGAGATATCCTTATTTGGACACCGCATGGCAAACATCTGGAAGGCAGCAGACTAAGAGGGGTGTGTGTTCATTGCAGTGGCTATATGCTGTACAATTACTGCTCAACTATACCTGTATTTGTGTTTTATTGATTTCTCTCTGTTTTATTCTTTCATGTTGTGAGTACTAAATTGCCACAACATTGTGAAGTAGTTGGCTTAAATGTGCTTAATTACTCTGTATGAAGTAGGAGCAGTTTTGCATGACAGGAGACTAGAGATGTGGGAGAGGAGACATCCTTATTTAGACACAGCAGGTCAAGTATCTGGAAGGCTGCATGTCTAAAATAGGTGTGTGATCTAAAGTAACTGATATGCATTACTTGTATTGGCCAACTATAAACAGCTAGGTCGTAAACATATCTTTAAGATACCAAAAGTATGTGAAACTATGTGTGTATTGAACTGATGGGGGAGGGGGCCGGAGAGAGGGAAGTCTATGCAGAAAATGTGTGTGTGTATGCAGGGTGCAAGAATGCGAGACAACGGACACCAGATGTGTTTGTTTTGCCTCAAACTGAAGAGACTCTTGTTTCCTGGCTGGCTCGCGCTGATTCGCTGCGACAGGCAATTGTTTTTATATCTCCCAATAGATGGGAGGAGCACCAGACACAACTCCTCCCCGTTGTTCTTACATGTATCCTGTTGTGTTCTTTGTCCGGTCTCTTTTTTCCTCCTGCTGCCAAGATAGTAAGATCTAACAGCACTCGGACCAGAGCAGGGGTACCCCTTTAACTTGTATTGTTGTTCTTTTACCATTAAAACAGATTATTGTTTAACCTTTATCCTGGTGCTTTGAATTCCTTCTTTTATAATTTGACTAGCTCATCAAAGGATACGCGGAGACGAGGTGGGTTTCAGACCACTCATTGCACACACACTACTGAAATACTCTCACATTCACTACTGAACACCTCACACACACACACACTACTGAAAACATCTGGCCTTGCACACACACTACTGAAATACTCTCACATTTACTACTGAACACCTCACACACACACTACTGAAAATCAAGCCTCACACATATTACTGAAAATTAACCCTCACACATATTACTGAAAATTAACCTCACACACACGAAAATTAACCTCACACACACTACTGAACACATCTGGCCTTGCACACACACTACTGAAATACTCTCACATTCACTACTGAACACCTTGCACACACACTACTGAAAACATCTGGCCTTGCACACACACTACTGAAATACTCTCACATTCACTACTGAACACCTTGCACACACACTACTGAAAACATCTGGCCTTGTACACACACTACTGAAATCCTCTCACATTCACTACTGAACACCTCACACACACAACTGAAAATTAAGTCTCACACACACACACTTGAAATCCTCTCACATTCACTACTGAACACCTCACACACACACTACTGAAAATATCTGGCCTCACACACACACACTACTGAAATACTCTCACATTCACTACTGAACACCTCACACACACACTACTGAAAATTAAGCCACACACACACACTACTGAAATACTTTCACATTCACTACTGAACACCTCACACACACACTACTGAAAATTAACCTCACACACATGCAACTGAAAACATTTTACTGAAAGGTTCTTAGTAGGGAATGTGCATGTGTTTCACCTATGTGTGTGAGAGGGGGATTCTTGCTGTAACGGAAGTCATTGTAATGAAACGGAACTAACAAAGAACAATGCTGCAGTGATACAGTAGGTGGCGATAATGCTCGTCAGGTTGCAAGTTAAAGAAGAACGAAACAGAAGGTTCAATTCAGCATGGATTTATAGAGAAACGGCACCGCAGCCGTAGGCTGGACCCCGGGCCGAGCGGTCTACAAACTGAGACGGTCTGGTCTATGGAGTTGTTCTTGTTTACCTCACCTGGCGCAGCTCGTGAGGTGGCCTAGCAACCCACTAGCAACATGCACAGCTGCAATAAGCTAACAAGCTAACTAAGCCGAAATTGAGCCAGAACCTTTCCTTTTTTTGTTTACCATTTATTGAAGTGATTGATATTTCAGGCTGAGAGGATAATGGCCTGTTAAATATGGTTGATTAAGCTGTGTACTTCTAGCCGACAGTTATGTTAGCATTAGTTAGTTAACAGTAAGTAAATATAAGACTAACCTATGTACACTGAACAAAAATATAAATGCAACACTTTTGTTTTTGCTCCCATTTTTCATGAGATGAAGTCAAAGATCTAAAACGTTTTCTATATACACAAAATAACCATTTCTCTCAAATATTGTTCACAAATCTGAAAAAATCTGTGATAGTGAGCACTTCTCCTTTACCGAGATAATCCATCCCACCTCACAGGTGTGGCATATCAAGATGCTGATTAGACAGCATGATTATTGCACAGGTGTGCCTTAGGCTGGCCACAATAAAAGGCCACTCTGAAACGTGCAGTTTTGCTTTATTGGGGGGGTCCGAAAACCAGTCAGTATCTGGTGTGACCACCATTTGCCTCACGCAGTGCAATACATCTCCTTCGCATAGAGTTGATCAGGTTGTTGATTGTGGCCTGTGGAATGTTGGTCCACTCCTCTTCAATGGCTGTGCGAAGTTGCTGGATATTGGCAGGAACTGGAACACGCTGTCGTATACGCCGATCCAGAACATCCCAAACATGCTCAATGGGTGACATGTCCGGTGAGTATGCTAGCCATGCAAGAACTGGGATGTTTTCAGCCTCCAGGAATTGTGTACAGATCCTTGCAACATGGGGCCGTGCATTATCATGCTGCAACATGAGGTGATGGTCGTGGATGAATGGCACAACAATGGGCCTCAGGATCTCGTCACGGTATCTCTGTGCATTCACAATGCCATCAATAAAATGCACCTGTGTTCGTCGTCCATAACATACGCTTGACCATACCATAACCCCACCACCACCATGGGCCACTCGATTCACAACATTGACATCAGAAAACCGCTCACCCACACGACGCCACACACGCTGTCTGCCATCTGCCCTGAACAGTGAAAACCGGGATTCATGAGAAGAGAACACCTCTCCAACGTGCCAGACGCCATCGAATGTGAGCATTTGCCCACTCAAGTCGGTTACGACGACGAACCGGAGTCAGGTCGGGACCCCGATGAGGACGACGAGCATGCAGATGAGCTTCCCTGAGACGGTTTCTGACAGTTTGTGCAGAAATTCTTTGGTTATGCAAACCGATTGTTGCAGCAGCTGTCCGAGTGGCTGGTCTCAGACGATCTTGGAGGTGAACATGCTGGATGTGGAGGTCCTGGGCTGGTGTGGTTACACGTGGTCTGCGGTTGTGAGGCCGGTTGGATGTACTGCCAAATTCTCTGAAACGCCTTTGGAGACGGCTTATGGTAGAGAAATGAACATTCAATTCACGGACAACAGCTCTGGTGGACATTCATGCTGTCAGCATGCCAATTGCACGCTCCCTCAAAACTTGCGACATCTGTGGCATTGTGCTGTGTGATAAAACTGAACATTTTAGAGTGGCCTTTTATTGTGGCCAGCCTAAGGCACACCTGTGCAATAATCATGCTGTCTAATCAGCATCTTGATATGTCACACCTGTGAGGTGGGATGGATTATCTCGGCAAAGGAGAAGTGCTCACTATCACAGATTTTTTCAGATTTGTGAACAATATTTGAGAGAAATGGTTATTTTGTGTATATAGAAAATGTTTTAGATCTTTGAGTTCATCTCATGAAAAATGGGAGCAAAAACAAAAGTGTTGCATTTATATTTTTGTTCAGTGTATGTACTCCAGCTAGCCGGCTAACCTACATCTGTTGCTCCCGGTCTTTTACGTTGCTTAAGGTAAGTGAACATGAAACTATTCAGCAAAACTTTCTATAATAATCTAAGGTATTGAGTTTTTGGATATTACTTGCATACAAATCTATAAATGCCTTCAGGTTTCTAAAATATACAACATGTGGTAAATGCAACAGTGGATCCAGCAAAGATTCACATTTTTGCATGATTTTAGTTATTGATTTGTTGCTGTTACTTAATTATACTTTTAATAAATTCAAGTCAAGCTTAGTTACATGTGATGGTAGCTAGTTAGTGCTCTTACCTGTGTGCCTCCTCCACAACCAGACTGTATTAAAACTCTTAAGCACCAGTTATTTCTACTTCACTTTAAACAATTAAAAAAGACTGGAGAGGACTGAGGTGGAGAGGTCTTTCTCTGGGAGGAGGACCAGGCCTGATGGAGGAGGACCAGGCCGATGAAGAAACCCCCTAACTGCATCTGTGAGCCCATACTGGGCTCAGCTGTCACAAACAAATGATGGTCCTGTTTGACTTTGTGTTCACAATAAAAGAGTAGTTTCTTAGTGAATGTCCTGTATTGGTCTTTAATCTGAAATAAGCTTCTCATTTTCTTCTTGCCCCTCTGAGAAAACGGTGAGGCAGTTGTGTCCTTCAGGTATGTCCTTTCCTAACAGAAATGACAAGAAACATATGACATTATTGCAGAGCAAGTGTGTTATTTATGAAAGAGGTTTGTTTATTTAGCGGCTGTAGAAATAATGTATTTTTATTTTAATGTGTTTTTTTTTATTCATCACTTTGTACTACAAAGATAATCAGATTATGAATGAACAGTCTGCAGTTAATCAACATTAAAATATCTTATTATTAAATAATATTCAACTGCTCGGTTGTCTCACTGCAAGAACCACTTTTACCACGTCTTTTACAGACAATATGTAGAGACAAATGGTAGTAATTATCACAATGTAAAATAATAATTGCCTTAAATACATAGAAATGTGAAAGCTGATTATAGTTGTTACTTTATCTATTTAAACCAGAACGTTTCTCGATTCTTTGTACAGTATGAAAGGAGTCTTTGTACCTTTGAGTCCATGCTGAAGTTCACTGATGTTAGGAATAGGTCTGTCTCTCGTGGTCAGCATCCTCTGCTCTGTCTGCTGCATCACCTGGAAACTTTAAACAAACAGATATATGTAAAGTAACAATGTGTTGGTCACAGACTTTTTTTTTTTACATGCAAATGTCATGTGATAATCTTTTTGTTATCCTTAAAAAAAGTGGATATCACAGCCCTTACTGTATCTTATCAGTTGGATTGTGTATTATTGTCTAGTTGGGGTTCTTTTTATTTTACTGTTATTTTGGAATCGTTTTTCATGAGACAGTCAATTTAAATATTTGTCCTATGCCATATTCACTTGTAACACACACGTAAGGGTAAAAGACAAACATCTTCAACAAATGTAATGCAATGAATAAGCTTAATTGTCACAGAAGCACACATAACGTCATATCTAATATTTAAACAAATAATTTCCTTGTCCCTAAAGCATTGACTACGCTATCGTCCTTAAATGCAGGCATTAAGTTACATGTTCACGTTCTGCTGCCACAATAAGGCGGTTTCTCCAGTGCAATGATAATAAAATGCTTAGTAAGTATTGGTAATAATATTAATAAAAACAACAACGTTTGGGTTCGTTCGCTTAATATGATGAACGTTAACCAGTAAGCTTCAATAATCAACTCCAGCTCAACAAACCATATTGCAATATCTACGTTAACGTTATTTCTGGAAACAACTGGAAATGTGAGATTCATATTTTTAAGATACACAGATCTTATAGTGAGGTTAATCTCATACAGTACTCTGCTCTTCGACACTAATGGCGCATTTCCACTGCAGCGGGGTAGCCCCGTTTAAGCGTCCCTAAGCGTCCTCGCTCAGGCCTCGGGCTGCCTCGCTGGCCGTGGCGCATTTCCATTACAGTTTAGGACCTGGGGTAGCAACGCAGTGTAGGCGGGGCGATCGGCTTTTTGGGCGGAGCGACGCTGGGTAAAACTGCAGTGGCGTCATCTTCAATGCGACACAACTCACAAAACAATGGAGGATGTGGAAGCGATCGTTTACTTGTTTCTTGGTGTGTGGCTTGTTAACATGCTGTGCTCTGCATAACCTCTGCGAGAGTCATGGAGAGGACTATGATGATGGGTGGAATGCACCAGCAGCAGCAGAGCCTGGGGTAGCAGTGGCTCAAGGTGCAGAGGAGGAGGGCACTGACATCAGAGAGGGTTTGATGCGCTACCTGAATACCTAAATATGCATTGTATTGTAATGTATTCATTGTATTGAACATAAATACATCTTTTTTTTTTATATATCAAATAATATCAAACTAACTATAAACATAAATACTAAAGTGTAAAACACAGCAAAACTATATTCATAAATGCAAGTGTAAAATAGTGTGGACAATTGTAAACATGGATGGAGGCTAAAGTATCCACAACATAAAATAATATATTAAAATATAACCTCAATCTTTCTTCTAGACATGTTAAAAGCTTGCTTGAATGGGTTATAGGTTTCTTCTTTTGTTCTCTCGTCTTTGAAATATATAAGGAATGTGTTGTTTGAGTCTAGTAGAACGAGGGTATTACAATTGAGCAATTTCTACTACACGTATTATGTATTTATCATGTATTCTTAATACTATTACAAAATAAACATGTAATAATGTTTTAGAGGAGGACCTCAAGCTAGCAAACTCAATTTCTTGCTTTAAATCTCTTAAAACTAAGGGGTTTTTTCCTAACTGATGGTGTTTGTTATTGCTTTATAAATTCATGTATGTTTATATCTTCTCTAAATCAAGATTATGTGAATCTGATTTATTTCTGTTGGGTGCAATTCATTATCAACAAGAGATAAGATAAATCGAAGAAGTACTTTATTGATGGCAGTATAAAAATACAAACAAAAAAAATTGTATCAAAAAGGCATGCCATTAAACAATACAAATAAAAAATGTAAAACTGTATTGCAGCCAGCATAAATATACATGGCATTGTAAAAATAAATATAAAATGCACATTTTAAAGAAAATAAATAAACAAGAAAGTACAAATGTTGCATTTAAAAATTAACTATAAAAAAATATATAATATGTACAATAACTATTAAGGTTATTTGAAGTATCACGGAGGAGACGGGCCACGTCGGATGCCCAGTCCCCCTAGCACCTCGCCAAGAATGCGCAGGAAGGCTAGGTTGAAGGTCTCTGCTTGAGCGACCTCCTCTCTTCTCAAGACGGCCTCCTCCCTTCTCAAGACGGCCTCCTCCCTTCTCAAGGCCGCATCCAACTCCCATCTCCGCTCAGCAGACGCTTTGGCCCAGTCCAATTGCCGTTCCTGCTGGGCCATGTGCTGTTCATGGTGCCGTTCCTGCTGGGCCCGATCCTCTCCTCCTCGTTTCCTCTTGCCTGGGTGACAATAAGATAATAATTAGCAATAAGGAAAAAACACTGGACAGGTACAGGTCACACAAGGATATAAGAATAACATGTATAAACAGAACAACAGTAAGGTGAACTAAAGAAAGTTCTGGCCCTAGATGTTTACAATGATTGTGAATTATATTATGTCCAGCCTGTTGATAATGAATATAAATATATGTATATGATAGGATGTCACACACAACTGTACTAGCTGCTTACTAGCTAAGACTTTACTTGTAACAGAGCATTTCCACACAGTGGTATAGCTTATTTTAATTACTGACGATGGATGATCCAAGGTTTAAAAAAACAAAACACAATTCCAGTCGTTTTGCCATTTCTATTTCTTACCTAGAACCACACGCTGCGGTGTCGTGATGGCACTCGGCGTTGGTGGTTGAGTTGGTGTCGGTTCTTCGGCTAGTGTCTGTGGTCGAGCTGGGGTCCGTTCTGGATTCGATGACGATGTTGTGGACACTGCCATCACCCATTGTTCGGGAATGTTCCTCCTCACTAGTCCCAATGTAATCATCTAGAACAGCAAAATGACTTGTTAATTCCACAAACTACTGCAGCACAATACTAAATAGCAACAACAACTATAGAAAAGAAAAACTGAACGTAAACAATGGCACATATGGTGTTAGCAAACAATAGCTCTAGCTAAGGCTGTCTGCCTAAGCTAGCTATGTAGCTCTTCGGGGCTCCATAAAAGCATGGGTTGATGAACATTAATGTAAGGATTAAAATAGACTTATTTGTTAGAAATGAGCGTACCTTGCAGGGACTCCAGTAAAGCCGTTGCAGAGTCCAGGCCTCCCTCCCAACGTTGGCCGGTCTATGGCCGTAAATCTGGTCCGACAAGTCGAACCATTGTTTCCTACCCGCACCACTCGTGTTATTGTTGTCCTTTACTTGGCGATATTCACTCTTCATCTTTTTGAGTTTTTCCCTACACTGCAGGAAAGTCCTCGACAATCCGCGTTCGGACATCTGTGCAGAGACATCCTGGAACACTTTCACATTTCACGTTGTTCCGTCGAGCTCCCTCATCCCCAATGAGATTAAGGAACGTCGTCACCTCCTCGGTCGACCACGGTGTGCTTTTCTTCGACGTTACCATTTTTGTAGCTCCTCCGTTTACAAAATGCTGTTTATAAAAATGCTGCAAGCTTGCTTCTAGATATATATGCGACGCTAGGGATGATCTCGCGCGCGATCTTGTGACGATTCTCTCTGACCAATCAGCAGTCGAGAGTGTTGACGTCACTAGTTCAGCCCTGGCCTGGCCTGATAGAACCACGATTTTATGGGGCCGGAAAAGAGGGAAAAGGTACCCGCTAGCCGGTGCTAGGCTATATGGAAAGGCAACCAAAAACTGGCCTGGCCGCTTGAGGACGGTTAAGGACGCTTAAACGGGGCTACCCGCTGCAGTGGAAATGCGCCATAATGTGACGCTAGCTGTCTGCATCGTCGAGCATAGCTATTTTAAATTAACAATAACAATGCATACAGTTACCTAACTAGCAAACTAACTAATGTACAAGCATGACCTTATTTTATCAACCTCACGAGAAGCCTTTTGTTCTAGACTATAATTCTTCTTAATGTTTTACACTTCTCTCTATTATGTTTGAACTTGTATGCTACGGATAGCATCGTTAGCACAGATGTAGCTTCGTCTCGCTCGTTAGCTGAATAAAAAGACAAGTAAGAAATAAAGTGCTTGAATTTCACTTACCGAATAAACTGCATTCATGGACGGTCTGTTTGAACCGCAGAGCCATAAGATAAGTGCGATATTTCAATGAAGAATACTCCACCAGGCATCAACACAATAAATACGTCCGAGTAGCAGCCTGGAGCTAATGAAGCTCACGGGGCTAGCAAAGAGACCAGTAGCAGGGCAGTTTGGTACTTCTGTTTCATTACAATGACTTTCGTTTCATTACAATGACTTCCGTTACATTACAATGACTTCCGTTACAGCAAGAATTCCCTCACACACACATAGGTGAAACACATGCACATTCCCTATTGAGAACCTTTCAGTAAAATGTTTTTCAGGAGTGTGTGTGTGTGTGTGTGAGGTTTTCAGTAGTGTGTGTGAGGTTAATTTATAGTTGCATGTGTGAGGTTAATTATATAGTTGCATGTGTGAGGTTTAATTTTCAGTTGTGTATGCAAGGTGTTGCAATTAACCTCACACACACACACACACTATTGAAATACTTTCACATTCACTAGTGACTAGTGACACTATTTCAATAGTGTGTGTGTGTGTGTGAGGTTAATTTTCAGGTGTGTGTGTGTGAGGTTAATTTTCAGTTGTGTGTGTGAGGTTAATTTTCAGTTGTGTGTGTGTGAGGTTAATTTTCAGTAGTGTGTGTGTGAGGTTAATTTTCAGTAGTGTGTGTGAGGTGTTCAGTAGTGAATGTGAGAGTATTTCAGTAGTGTGTGTGCAAGGCCAGATGTTTTCAGTAGTGTGTGTGCGAGGTGAGTTTGAATTTTGGCCTACACGGCCCTTCATACCTGGGACGCGAAAATTTGAGAAATGACAAACGGCTCATTTCCGAGGACTCGCGTGCGTCTGCTTGACACGGGACGACCGGCGGCCCTCCCCGACAGGCGCACGGACGTGAGGGCCCTCTCATCACTGCGCGCACATGTGCGACCGCAGTTTTAATGTTGTAACTGTCAGCTAGGCCAGGGGTTCCCAACCCGGGCCGCGGAGGTGTTACTGCCGGGCCGCGAAATAGCTGTGAGTTTATCGTAATATTTGCAGAATTATAAATATATAAAAATATGTTATCATAATATATATTTTTTAAAGTGTTTAATTTTTGCACCTATACCAGTCATATTATTTCATCCAGTAGCCTAGTTAATCTTTCACCAGAAAACCGTTGAAAATGGCTTTTATGATGTTCCGAGGGATTCGGCGGCTCAGGGTCTCAGCCTCTCGTGCGCACGAGAAAGTTACCGGTGCGCCAAGTAGGAAGAGGAGCGCACAGGAGACAACCGTTTAATTGCAGACTGTTATGTTTATGTGGGGAAATGGTAGTGCATACATTATTTGAGATATATTTCAAACTCAGACTTCATTTTAAGAATATGTCGGCCAGGGGTGTAGAGCCATTTGTTTAAGCACCGGATTGGCAAAACAGGAGAGTAAACCAGTCTGCCTTGATCTATGAATTCATGTCCGGGACTCTCACGGTATCTGCTGCCCGCAGCTGTTTTATAAAAGGAAAACCTCCTTCACTTCATGAAATGGCTGCAGCATCAGGAGGCAGCGGGACGTATACTCCGCCTCTGAGAAGTGCAGCACCGGCGCGCCGAGAGCTGTGCCTTTTTACGCACCGCCTTCGCTGTGTTTACCTTCATCAGAACAGCTTAAGAGTGACTGCAGGCTGCTACGTGAGATGTCCAGTAACCAAGGCGCATGATGTGTGTGTGTGTGTGTGTGTGTGTGTGTGTGTGTGTGTGTGTGTGTGTGCTCTGTTCAGCTCAGCTCTGTGTGTTCAGTGTGTTTGTGTCTGTCCGACACCAGCATTTGTTTTCAAATGACCATGAACAGTAATTTACACACATCTGGCTAACTCCATAGGTAGCCTATATGCGGGTGTTCCCAAAATAAATTAGTTTAATCTTAATCTCGATGTAGTGCTAAATGCTGTCAGACGTGCACCGGAACAAATGTCACTATCATAATATCTTCTGAAAACAAATGCCAGTCACACACACACACACACACACACACACACACACACACACACACACACACACACACACACACACACACACACACACACACACACACACACACACACACACACACACACACACACACACACACACACACACACACACACACACACACACACACACACACACACACACACACACACACACACACACACACACACACACACACACACACACACACACACACACACACACACACACACACACACACACACACACACACACACACACACACACACACACACACACACACACACACACACACACACACACACACACACACACACACCTCCTTCATAATGCGCCTTCTCCTTGTTTTCCCATCACTGGATTATCCGTATATCATACAAACAAAACCAAAACGTTGATTTATCCGTTTTCCCGTTTTTGTTTAAAAACTGAATAACGTCGGTTTTTTGGTTTTCCGAAAAACCAAAAAACGACACCGGTTATTTTTTAAACGTTGTTAATATGTTTTGGATGCATATTGTTCTAGTATTTGTTCAGGCTGTTACAATTAGCCTCTGTTGCCAGAGATGCTGTATGAGAAACCAATGTGAGTTTGGAAAATTGCACAGTATAAATCTATTTTAGTATACCTCAACAATGGAATTATGATCAGTAGAAATGGCCATGACATGGGACCTTTAAAATGGCAAATTGTCTTCATCCAGGTTTTGATTCAGAAATACTGTGACACTGACCCAGCTCTGGTGTGCAGAAGACAGACTCACCTGCATTGAGGAGAACTTTGGCGCAGTCATAATGTTGCGTTCCACAGGCGACATGAAGCGGTGTCCCATAGTGGCAGTCGTGCGCCTCGATGTCAGCTCCTTGATCAATCATGAGCTGGACACACTCAGAATTACCTATTGTGACAGACAGGAACAATTATGTCTCAGAATCCCAGAAGGAAGGGTATCACATAAGTACATTTGAGAAGTTGATAAAGATACATTGCTCCACACCAAGTATTTTAAATATATAACAATAAGTTCCCATAGGCTTTAAAAAGGTGTATGTTCCTTTTGTTTAGTTTCATCCTACACAGGGAACTGAAGCTGTTGCTCAGCATGAATTGATTTTGGCTGGATCATTTTTCATGCTGTTTTAAAATCAATACAGCAATCAACTATATGTGTTCTATACTTTAAATGCTTTGACAATAAATACATAAAAAAAATTCATCTGTGGAAGCCGTGGCGCTGTAAAAAGCACGACCAATCATCTGAGCCGGCCCGGCTAAAATAACTGGATGGCCTACCTGCCTGTCAACCTTCCATCTCGTGCACAAACTTATCTCGTGCCCTCATTGGTCATGTGCGCGTTCGTGTATTGAAGGAAGGGGCAGATTTTTTTCGGTTGTGTACATTCAAATTCTAGCGCACTCGAGCTGGTTTCTCCATTCTTACCTACCCTACCTTTAAAGCCTGCCTATATAATTAAATCATTCACTATTAGTTCTTTCACTAGCATTTCAACAATGTGGAATCAGGTATGGCAATACAAGACTGAGGAAACAAAGACATATTAATGGGTAGATAGATACTTGGCTCAACCTGCAGTACATACATTCCTATGTGATGTTGTGTATAACAACACGCACCTCCCATGCAAGCCTCATGAAGCGGTGTGAAGGTAAACATTGGAGGATTAACTGTTGCTCCGTACTCCAACAGCAGCTTGACACATTCAAGGCTGCCGGCTGCACAGGCATCACACAGCGGGGTGCTGCCGTCGATGTTCCGAGCATCTACCTGTAACACAAAGAGCCGTAATGTAGTCAAAGCGAAAGTCAATAATGCTCTGATGAAAGGAGATATCAGCCTCACATATACCATCTCACCTGTGCACCAGCATCCAGCAGCAGTCTAACACATTTGGTGTGTCCCCGTATACATGCCTCATGCAGGGGGGTAATGGAGCTTACTGCCACGATGTTAACGGTTGCCCCCCCCAGGATCAGCTGCTGCAGCTGGAGCGCCCTGCCCTGTGAAGCAGCTTCATGCACGGCTGACCGGTCCGTCCAGAAGCCAAGACCTTGAGCTGCAAATAATGTGAAACCAAAAAAGACTGAACTGTCACACTCAAGTTGTTTTGAAGTATCTGCATGTTGACTCATGATGATTAATAAACGCTTCATTTTTTACTTCCTTCCAACAACTATAACACAAGTTAAACCTTACTTATTGAGTGAAGAGGCCCTGTTGCATATAGTTTTATGCAGTATGCATGCATTATGATATTTTCCTCTTATTTTTAAAATGACCTTATGTTTTTAAGCTTAAAAAGCATACGTTATATGCTGACCACAAGATCATTTAGGTATTAACTGATTAACTGACTGATTTTTTGGTCAATTATCAAATTTGAATGCCTTTGTTCATGGTAAAAAACATATGATTCTAATTATTTTTGTTTATTTACTTATGTATTCATCATAGAACATACAAATACATCGAAAACGACATGACATATAGGTTATTTATCCTGTAATAAAAGTACTTTACCTTAAAGTTTGGAAACTTTGCCTGTTTATGACAATTGATGGCAATTTGCACATAAGGAGGCATAATACAATCAGTCATGTAACCTACATCATGCTAAACAAAAGTATTAGTTATAGAAAAAGTAGGCTATATTTGTTTGTATTACATTGTAAACTGTGTGTTATTGGGCCACATTCAAACAGTGCACATGTGTTAAATCTTTAAGTATGTCACATTTGCTGCTTCAGAGCAAAGCTAGGTGCATGTAGTGCCTGCTGGCCTCACTAACGAGCTTACAGCCTGCTGTCATTATCTTGAACATCCACTTAGAAAATATGCTAGCTAACGTTGACCTAGCTATAACTCTGACCGACACTTAAGAGAGATTAATTAAATGAAATCTGAAGAAAGCTTGACATAGCAGCAACCAGCTTTATCAGGTCAATCTGTTGTCCTGGGTTAATGCTGGTCACCACCGGTTAGCTATACTTACCGATTTCTCCATACAAGGACGGTCTGGTCCGAGTCATCTCCATTTCATGATGCCGTTTTCTCCTCCGTTAACTGCGTTTATTTAATCAAACCTGTTATCCATCTTAGAAGTAAATAAATAAAGACTGTAATGACTGCATTACTTTAAAACGCAATGGGGCATCATGCTGCGCATTGAGTGATGGCAGCGAAGGACCAGTCAGTCAACATAAACAAAGGCTTGGAACTCTGGGATATGTAGGCGAGGAACCTACCAATCACAGTAGTCACATGTACATTTGTTTCCTACATTCAAGCAAGAAGTGGGATATATTTATTAAATTAACTCAAGTACTGCACTTAAAGGTGGGGTAGGTAATTCACTTCAGAAACACTTTTTGTTATATTCCATGGAATGCTCTTAACATCCCGATAGCAATGAATACATTAACTGATTTGTCAATAAATACATTTACAAAATCTGTGGAAGCCGTGGCGCTGTAAAAAGCACGACCAATTATTTTAGGCGGTCCGGCTAAAATAACTGGATGGCGGATTGCAAACAACTTTAAGGTGCATACCGCCACCTCCGGAGTCGGCTTGACTCGGTTTGCATTTATAAAGAATGCACACATGTGTTTAATCGTTAATGTCAGATATGTACTAAGTAAATACATTTGTTCCTGCTCAAAATTAGATTCAACTTTATTGTTATTGCACATATTACAGGTACTGAGACAACGAAATGCAGTTTAGCTTCTAACCAGGAGTGCAACAAGCAGTAAAATGAAAAGTAATGTACACAATCTACAGAATAAAATATAGAATTAATTGAATGATGAATAAACAGTGAGGGGTATGAATACTAGATATACACAGCAGCCATGTGATTAGTATGTATGAACAGTGTGTATGAATACACTAGATATACACAGCAGCCTGTGAGCAGTATGAACAGTGTGTATGAATATGCTAAGATATATAAAGTATGAAAATGGTAAGCAGTGCAAGTATAGTATAAAATATATAGATATTAATTTCATGATGATAAACATTGTGGAACAATTATGAAAAATGTGAACGTAAGGGGCGACGTAAAACTGACACAAAACAACAACAAACTTTTGCCGAGCCAATTGGAGAGTTTCATCAGCAGCACGTGGTAAAAACCACCCATGAGCGCTCAGCTCGCGATAGGGTTATAACCGCGAGATTTCAACGTCTCATGTAGGCGAGCCTCCAGAGCAAGGCTGCTTCTCAGGTCGATTAATTGAAATCCTTGCTTCCCTCACTTGCGTCGTTTCCCTGCGTTTAGTCCCTCCCACCAGGGAAGCATGAAGGGACGCAAGGAAACCACGAGAAGCAGGGAAATTAGTTTTAAGAGCAATGGGACGTCCTTTCCTCCGGAGCGTCACGTGAAGCGACGTCCGTTTGTGATGACGCTGCACAGCTGATCGTCTGACAGCAGCTCTGTCCCCGTTATTTCCACACACCCCCCCCGCCTCTGTTAGTACACATTTACTGACACAAACATTTGTATCATCTGTTGTAGACCCCAATAAATAAAATAAGAACTCATTCTCAAAAAAGATAAACGCCATTCTTAAAATGTATAAACGAACAATAGTTTGATTAATATTGATTAGAGTGCACAATAGAAATAAAATAATTGAGAGAAGAAAAAGAGATATGTTATCTATCAAAACCCAGTTGGATTAACATTCATTGGATTGCACACTTTGTGTGTTTGTGTGGATATGTAGCATATTAACATTTTAATAGCACTTAATGACTGACTGAATGGAAATGACAATAAATGAAAATGTAAAACGAAAAAAGCGATCATGAAAATGTTTCCAAAAAATGAATTAAATGATTTTTGACCACTTTGTTGTTCAGATATATCACATATTTGTAACTAAATGATACATGAATTGAAACAAAACACGGTATAAACTGAGGAGTGACTCCCGTGAGGTTCATGTATTTTCTTCACTCTGCTCAGTGCTCTCATGTCAAGAAGCATCAGATCAGTGCATGCACTGCCTCGTCCAATCAGTGAGCGATACACAGTAAGGGGGCAGGGTGAGTATCTGAGGATTTCATCGGAGGATGGTCTGGTGGTTCCTCGGTTATCGCTCCTCCATGATCGCTCCTCGCTCCTCGATCCTCGGTCCTCCGGCAGAAATAAGAGCCATGGGACGGTACTCAAGATGGCGCAGGCAAATCAACTTCCGGTGAGACCGAGGACCGAGGAGCGAGGAAATGAAAATAGTCGACCTGAGAAGCAGCCCAAGTCGGACAAAATGACTAACCATCATGCAACGCACTAGCAAGATGTTGTCGCTGTCCAGGGGCGGTTCTAGGGGGAGCCAGTGCCACCCTAACACTGACCTGTGGCCCCCCTAACAATGAAAAGTTGTTTTGTTTTTTTTAAATGTATATTTGTAATATATATATATATATATATAAATATACATATATATACACTGTATATCATCCATTCCTCCCCTTATAGGCGTTTTCGGCATCTTGCCTATTGCAGCTTTGTAAACTGGTGCTGGGGCTTTGTAGGACGAGGCATCAGAGTGGTCATCCCGTCATGTGTTGTCCGCCGGATACGCCAGGAGTTTCCTGATCTGGCTGGACGAAATCAAATGCAAATCAAAAAATATTAGAGAAACTTAGTTGTTTTAGGTTCGTTAGCTTGCCAGCTAGATTAATATGCTAATCTACGTTTGCTAGTTGTTCAGTGTAATATGCCAACCTACTATGAATAACAGCTAGTGGTTCATATTAGGCTAGCAAGAACATGTTTACAATTGCAATCTTATACGGGTTGTCTTCTACGTTCGGTCATTCATTGTAGCTGGCATAAAAACAATGTTTTCCCTAGCAAACTCATGTCTAGCTCTTGGTAGCCTTCTTTTTTAGCTCGGTAGCATACACGCCAACTATAATGTAATTAAGTTTTGCGACTGACCGTACGGTAAATCACCCGTAGTATACTGTCTATGAGTATTTCGTGTGTGAATGCAGACATTCTCCTGTTATGAGATACATGTAAGGCCATCTGCTGACATTGGAGTTGATATATGGAAACGCTAGCAACTTAGTTAGCCCAGTTAGCACTGTGTCAATGGCTTAGCTGCCTGAAAAACGTTTACCCATTTAAACAGTCGTGGTAGATACCTTGTTTGTTTTAAACATCATAAATACACAAACAACAATGAATACTTACAGGTTGTGTACCCGAATCTCCCGCTGGTCCAAACAAAGTAGGAACAGCATCGTTCTTCAGTGCCCTACGCTGTACATTTCCGGCATGAATCGCTGAAAGGTTTGTGAAGCTTTGTTTCGTGAAATGCTGGCAGAGGGTGTGGCCTATGGGTATTCACACGTCACAGTACCCAGGAAGTAAACAATGGAAAATGAGAAATCTCCAACAAGGCGTTTTGGGGCAGCATAGACTGTGTTAGAGTTTTACTAGCTACAGGGTGCACTTTGAGGGTTTTTGACTCTGCAGACCGTTTACATGCATAAAAACCTTCATAACACACGGACGGGTAATAACTGGAAAAGCATGACATGGGCCCTTTAATGCTTCTTGATACTACTCCACTACATTTAAAAGGGAAATAATGTAATTGTAATCCTTCAACAAACATTAAACTAGTGGATTAACTCTTTAAATCACGAAAGAGTCAAATGATTTAAATATTTTACAAAAAAGTCATTCAGAACTTTGTTGGTCAACTACAGAAACATTTCACTGCAACAATATTATCTAGAAATGTCACATAATATAAATAAATATAGACACATAAAAGCAATTTTTCTGCACAATAATTTTTATATTTTCCGTACATTTGACTAATAATACTTTTGTACTTTAAGATTTTGAATGCAGGACTTGTAATGAAATATTTTGACAACCATTTATTGGTACTTTTACTCAAGTGAAGGGCCCATGTGAAGCATCTGAATACTTCTTCCACCACTGCATTCCAGTTATATATTTGACTAAAATAGACAAAAACCAAATAATATATGAAACAAATGTATGTATTGCTTGTTAACCTGTGCATGATCTCGATCGCTAATGTTAGCAAGCACAATCAGTACTAGCTAACATGGTCAAATGTCCCCCTTTAAAAGAAAGCTTTTTAATAAAGCTAAATCAAAATGATACATCCCCATATTGATGACGTTTCCAAGTGCAAAGGTGGGAATCTTTTGTGCGTGCGTGGTTGGACCATACAGTCAATGGGTTGAACTAGCTAACATCGCTAACTCCAGCTAGTGTTACACTAATGCTAATCCTTGATGTGTTGGACTTGGATTTGCTTTTGTTTTACCAAATGCAGCAACTGCATTAATTTTATGTCGAGGAGGTGTAGTTCTTTACATTTTAAATGTGAATGTGATTAGATTTAAATGGGCGAAATTTTTCAACAATAGCATGGACAGTTACTCGTCAAAAAACCTCAATCAGTTGTGCGATCATTTTATGCATGTTTTCAAAACTCTAGAGTAAATAAATAATACTTTATAAATATTTCTATACAACCTAGATTACTCAATTGCCAGTAGCCTATAGTATTGCGGTAGAATCTAACCAACTATTTTTCTTAGATGAGGCAATAGAGTCATAATTAAATAATGAAATACATTTAAAATATTTTTTGGTAACATTATTTAGAAGGTAGCCTGTAATAAGAGGTCATAGAGCTGGTGAATGAGATACATCATTTTTGAATTACCTAGAAGGGCTTGCTGTAGGCCTACGTAATAAAATATAATGAAATCTACATCCAAAAAAGAACACCAGAGATGGTCTCAATATGGTGGAAAAAATAAAAATAAATACCCTGGGATCGGAAAAGTGATACAAAATGTCAAAACATTTTTTAATGGATGTCTATGGCGAAATACTGTTCTTCCAGTCCTAAGTGTCTGTATTTTGGCTACAAAGTTGATCAATCAACGTTTATTTATATAGCCCTATATCCCACATTTTACATTTTACAAAAGCTCCAAACTTGGACTGAGATAAACATTTTCCAATATTTTTTTTACCAAACTATTATTCTTGAAAATAATAAGAATATTAACTGATTGCATACCTAGTTTATAAATACTTCACATTGAATTATATAACTAGCAAAGATAAAACCGGGAACTAAGGCTTGGTGCTGCTTTCAATGTGAGTGTGTGCTAAACTGTGTA